CCCAGGAGCAGGGTAGCCAGCCACAAAGAGGTCGCCCCCTTTCCAAAGCCCCCGCGCTCAGCCAAGCAGCCGGCACTCCTCGAGGGGCAGCCCTCACCCTGGTGGGTTTGTGGCCACCAGGACCTGTGTGGGGGACAGTGAGCACTCTGCAAGCAGCCAGCCAGAGCCCAGAAAAGACCCCACGGAGGAGGAGGAGGACGGGAGATGCCCGCCGAGGTGCTCACAGTGCTCAGCAGCCTCCTTGCACCCTGTGCCACTCACCTTGCAGGAGGTGCCCAGGAGGCGGCCGTCTCGCTTCCACGCCAGGCTCTGCAGCTGGTCCCCGTGAGGTTCCAGTGCTGGGGGAGGAAAGCACGGTCAGGGCCTCACGAAGGGCTGGGCACCCTCTCCGTGCTCCGGAGGACAAAGCAGGACGTCCCCACCCCAGCCCTGGGCACCCAGGGCAGGAGGGCAGTGCTGGCACGGTTTCCCAGCAGGAGCTCCCCTCGGCACCACGCTGGTTTTCCACCCGAGCAGCTTGGTGTTGCCAAATGACCCCCTTCTGCCCCAGAAAGCAGGTTTCCCTTCCCCAGGTGAACCGTGTGTTTGCCACGAGGCAGTTGCTGGTTCTTCTGGACTCAGAGCCACTGAATTCAAAACCCAAAGCAAGGTGGTGCCGGCGTGCTGCCACCAACACCAGGCCAGCTCAGCTCTGGCTGCTCAGCAGCCGACGGCACCCACATCTCCAAATTTCCTACCTGCCAGTGGCTGCTGCTGCCCCACGTCCCATACGGTGACTCGCTTCCCCGCGCCGCTGGCCAGGACGCCATCCGCCGTGGGGTGGAACTGCAGCACATCCACGGGGCCCCCGCCGGGCCCCAACGTCAGCCCCGCGCTGCTGGGCACGTCCTGGCCGCTCTCGGGCAGGCGCCAAACCTTCACCTGCGGCCCCCAGAAGATGTGGGTCAGACCCCGGGTGGGTGAACCAGCCCTGGCCCTGCACCCCGCAGCCAGCACAGAGCCAGCAGAGGGTGCTTGCTGCTCTTCCAGGCTGTGGTGCCTTCTACCCAGAGCCAGGAAAATGGGTCACCAGGTGAGCCTCATCGCGTGACCCCTGGTGGGATCGGGGCTACAGGAGAGGGCTGATCCTTGAGGGATGCACCTCATCCCCGTCCCTCACGTCAGCCTGCCCCATCCCCTACACCCCAGGGAGTGCCCACACAGCTCCCGAGGCTGGCACCCTCCTCCCCAGGCTCCTGGCACTCCCGTCTCTCTGCATCCACCTCCCCAAGCTCTGCAGCGAAGCCCCAGGGACACACCAGGGTGGGGACAGCGCGGCCCCGTGGGTCCCCACGGCACCGAGCACTCACCGTCTCGTCAGCAGAGCCTGTAGCCAGCAGGAGCTGATCGAACGGTGAGAAGTCAAAGTCTGTCACCACGTCTGGAAGGAGAGGAGCAGAGATCCAGCCCCGTGTCACCACCGCTCTGCCGAGCCCCCCGCACACAGCACGTTCGCCCCCCGTTGCTGCCCCCCAGTCTCAGCCCCTTTTCGCGCACACGCAGGGAGCGAGGTCCCCTCGGGGGACCCGGCCCCACCGAGGTATTTTAGGGCAGCTCAGCTTCCCTGCAAGCCTCCACGCTGCCCCTCGGGGAGCCCTGAGCACACCACAGCTGCGTTCTCCCCTCCTCGAGGTGCCACCGCCCAGCTTTGGCTCTGGTTTCACAACAGACATCCCCGGAGCCGAGCTGCAGGAGGAGCGCGCATGGCACCAGGGCGCTTGCGTCAGCCCCACGCTGCCCACAACGCTCCCTTTGTAAGGGCCCTGAGCAGCGTGATGGGGGCAGGATGGTGACGGGAGCAAGGCTGGGCTGGCACCAGCACGAACAGCCCCTCCGGTGCTTCGGCACGCTCAGCAAACTGGGTCACCCTGTACTTTTTCCGCTTCCACGAGGCCGCGGAGATACGGGCCCAGGAGGCACGAAAAGACAAGCAACTCACTCCAGCTCCCAGACTTATCTGCCCTGTTCGCCCCGGGGAGGATCCAAAAATCCCTCCCCTGCTCCGAATGCCCGAGGGAGGCATTTCCCGGGCACAGCCAGCTTCAAAGGGCTGGTGCTGAAATCTCATTAAGGGCTCTGCAGCTGCTGGCTGCGCGCGCCGCCGGCCCCGCCAAGCGTTCCTCCGGGAATTCGGGGAGCTCGGTGGCACGGGGATGTCTGCCAGGGCAGGACGGAGGCTGGAAAAAAGCTCTGGAAGGGCAACAAGGCCAGAAAGGGGGCTGAAACCAGCCCAGCAGATCATGGGCTGAGCCCCAGGAAAGGGCAGAGCCGAGGCAGGCAGAGCACAGCACGCAGCGGGGCGGCACTGGGACGGGCTCAGCAGCCTGCTCCCACCTTGATGCTCGTGTTTGGGACATCCCTGTTCCCATTCCTGTTCCCATTCCCGTTCCCCTCATCACTGGAGCTGGCTGCACGCCGCCAGGATCCCAGCTCCTCCACCAGCCCGGTGCTGGGCTGCTCCCGTGCTCCTCCTGCGAGGCTGCCTGCCCCGGGGCTGCTCTGCTGCTGCTCCTCGGGTGGCTCCCAGGAGCCTTTTGCAGGACGCTCGAGGTGAGTCCAGTCTAGATTTATGCTCCAGGGGCGCTTTTCCCACTGGAAAACGCTCACATTTTGCACTGGGAAGTCCGGAGCAAGGTCCCCAAAAGCCTGAGATCGGCAGCTCTAGAGGTGAAACCCCCTGCTAGGCACAGCTGCCCAGGGGCACAGGGCACTAAGAGAGGGTCCTGAGTGCTCACAGCCTCCACGGCTCTGAACTCAGCAGGTCCCTGCCTCACACGGGAGCGGGGTCACCCTGCCTGCGGGCGGTGGTCCCTGGGGACTCCAGCAGCCCCTCTCCCAGGACACAGATGGCCCCAGACCCCTCGGTGCCCCAGCGCAGAGCTCTGCGGAGTAGGGCACGAAATGGTTTGGGCTCAGCAGCCGCCCGGCTCACCTGAGTGGCAGCAGAGCTGAGACACGGTCCTCTTGCCTCCATCCTTGCCCTCCAGCGGCACGATGCCCAGCACACCTGCAGGAGAAGGCACAGCAGCAGGTCACCGGCCACCCACAGCCCGGCCGCTGCGCACAGGGACCCCCAAAAAACCCGGGGACGCAGCGGGGAGCACCCAGATTTGCGATCCAGAAACCACCCAGCCCCGAGGGACCGCAGCTCCGGGGGTGAACCCATCCCAGCTCCCCATCCTCACCCGTCGGCTCGGCGCTGAACGCTACCCACTGGCAGCTGGCCTTCACCTGGTTCCCACAGGATGAAACGGAGCCGGCTCGGAGACCCCCAATCCAGGCCTGGGATGGAGAGAAAAGCCCGTGTTAGGGGATGCTCCTCACCACCTCTGTGCCAGAGCACGGCACCCACAGGGCACCGAGAGGCTCCTCCTCGGCCGGACCCGCTCCCGGTGCCACGGGTGCGCAACCGCGTGCCCATGGGAGCTCCTGGCACACCCCGGGCCAAGTCCAACCCTCGTGCGGAGGTGACAGCGGGGTTGCAGACCGGTGCCACGCTGCAGCGGGTGCCCGTGCCCCACACGGAGCCCTTTGTAGGACGGGAGCTGCAGGAGCCCCTGAGGAGCGAGAGCTGCGCTTCCTCTCTTTGCACGGCTTCCTTTTGGGGCCTGCCCGAGAGCAGCGGTTCCTGCAGCACTTCCTCCGGTCCCTGTCACCGCAGCCTGCTCGGGGGCAGGCCCCGTAACCCTTCCTGCACCCATGGGGGGGTGAGCACCCCGATACGTCCCTACACCAAGCCGCAGCCCCTCGGGGTGTCTCTGCCGGGGGAGGGAGAAGCGACCCAGGTGGGATCCTGGTGTCTGCGCCCTGCTTCCTGATCCGGCCAGGGCAAGTGTCTGCCTTTGGCCACGCTCAGGGACACCTGAGGGACATGGGGATGGGTCCTGGCTCCTTTAGGTACACCTCCCACCCGGATGGGGAATGCCCTAAGGGAGACCCCATCCCATACAGGCTGCCGAGGCCGAGCAGATGTCTCCCTGCACACCAGGCCCTCGACATCCCACATGGATATCCCAGGGCTGTGACAGTCCCAAAAACCAGCGTGTGCCCCCCGTGCTGGCTGGGCACACGTGTGGGGACAGCCACGTCCCCCCCTACCCCGAGCTAACCCCAAAGGGACACCCCAGGTGCCGGCAGGGCTGCGGGTGCGGGATTTGTGCGGGGGCAGCTGGGGTGGGAAGCTAAAAGCAAGGGGGCTGCCGAACCCCAGGGGCTGGGAGCTGAACACAGCCGTGCTATGGGGGCCCCAAATCTTCCCCAAAAGCAGCCAGACCCCAAAATCCCCAGCAGCATCACCCAGCCCGCTGCTGGCACCGCACCCACGCCCGGGAGCCACACAGGAACCGGGGCGGTTTTGGGGAGCCCCGGCAAGGGCTGAGCACCCCGGGACCCTCTCGGCCGGCACCCCCCGGCCCTAAAGCGGCACCCCCGGGGTGTTTTTTTTTGGGGGGCGGGGGACACCGGGGCGGTGCCGCCCGCCCCAGCCCGGCCCCGCTGCCCCCCGGGGGAGCCCCCCCCAGCGCTCACCTCCCTGCGGGGCAGCCGGGCCTCGGTGTGCCGCAGCTTGGACGCCTTGAAGCGGTTCATGGCGAGCCGAGCCGAGCCGGGCCGAACCGGGAAACACGAACCGAGCCGGGCTGGGCCGGGACGGGCTGAATCGAGCCGAACCGGGCCGGGCTGGGACCCCCGGAGCCGGGCTGGGACCCCCCGATCCGATCCGATCCGAGCCGGGCCGGGCCGGGCGGGGCTGCACCGGGGCGCCCGAACCGAGCCGAGCCGAGCCGGGCCCTTGGCCCCGCCCCCTCCGCGTTGGCCCCGCCCCCTCCGCTCTGGCCCCGCCCCCGAGCCGGGCCGGGCGCGGCGCCGCCCCCCCCACCCCGAGGCAGCTCCAGGGGCCGCGGGTTCGAGACCCGCCGAGGCTCCTCCGCCCGCGGCCGGGCGCTGTGTGCCCGCACACCTGCGGGGTGCAGCGAGGCTGCGGACGGGTCCTGCCGCCCCCCCCCGTGTCCCGCCCCGGTTATTTGCTGCCGGCTGCGCTCCCCGCTGACGGGACTCGGCGGCAGCCCCAGTGATGGAGGAGGGAGATGGGTGCTGGGAACGCCTCCTGCCCTCACTGCGGGACCGCGGCCACCTCCGGGAGAGCAGCCAGCGCCTCACCCCGCCGCGCGCACCCCTCCCGGGTGCCACAGAACGGCCCCCACCCCGCGGTGCCCGCCTGTGAGGTGCGGAGCCGCGCAGCGAGCCCCCTTCTCCCCTCACCGCCCTCCCTCCACTGCGCACGCGCAGCGCCACACCGCCCCCCGCCGCCTCCGCCCCTGACGCATGCGCAGCGCCGCGCGCGGGCCAAGATGGCGGCGGGGAGCGCCGCGCGCTGGCTGGGGGCCGCCGCCGGTGCCGCGCGGGGCTGCGCGCAGGGAGCGGGGCCCGGCCGGGGCGGGGAGCGGGGGGCGCTGCGGCTGCCGCTCCTGTGGCTGCTCAGAGGGCTCGGAGCCGCGCAGGGACCCGCCGCACGCCGCCCTTCGCTGCTGGGAGCCGGGCTGTGGGCCGCGGGTGAGGCAGGGAGCGGGGCCTGAGGGGGGCTGAGGGGGCTGAGGGGGCCCGGGGCCGCCTCACCGCCTCCTCTTCTTCTTCTCCTTCTCCTCCCTCAGGCCCGAGCCGCGTCCCGGCCTCCTCCTTCCACAGCAGCTCGGCGGCCCTCGCCAAGGAGGATTACTACCAGGTGCTGGGGGTGCCGCGCTCCGCCAGCCAGAAGGAGATCAAGAAGGCCTACTACCAGGCACGGCCCCCACACAGCCCCCAGCCCGCCCAGGGGCTGCTCCGTGCCCCCAGGGGGCCTGGCACCGAGCTGTGCCTGCTGCCTGCGAGGGCTCGGTTGCAGCAGGTTGGTGCCGTCTGTCGCTAATGTCTGGGTTTTTTCTCGTTTAGCTGGCGAAGAAATACCATCCCGACACGAATAAGGATGACCCCAAGGCTAAGGAGAAGTTTGCGCAGCTGGCAGAAGCCTACGAGGTAACGCGGGGGGGGGGTTATTGGCGTGAGAGGGAGGAGAGGTGGGGACAGCTCTTGGTGGAGGTGGAGTGGGGATACCACATCTTGTGTGTGTTTGCTGTAAGAGGACAGCTGATTTTTGACACCTTGTGCTTCAGGTGTGAGGGCATCTGCCCTAGAGGTGTCTGCAGCGAGTTATTTAGCCCAGATTTCTGATTTGCCTGATCATGCTTTGGGCTCTTTGCGTTTTGGCTCTTAGCAATGAGGGACTGGCAGAGTTGGGAAGGGTGGTTTCTGCGGTGGAGTTAGTGCCTAGGTCAAACAAACAAACAAACCTGCCAGCAGTTACCAGCTTTCTGAGACAAAGGTACTGTTCCACCATGCTCCATTTCTGCTCTCCACCTTGCTTTGTGCTGGTTTGCCCTCTGGCAGGTCTCAGATTTCCTCCGGCACTCTTACCACCAGCTTTCATTCAACATTCGAGCAGTGAAATACACAACACAAGTTGTTCGTGCTTGTTACGAACCACTAAGACCTTGTCACGTTGCTGATGCCAAGCTTTTCGGTGATTTGTATGATCACAAAGGCTGGGGCACTCTTCTGAGGACACAAAGGTCTGAGCGAGCGCCGTGTGGGAACAGACAGCCCTGAATTCCTTTAGGGGGGCTGCCCAGGACAGCCAGGCTGCTCGGGACCTGGTCGGTGTCCTGATGGCATCGTTCTTTGTCCCCAAGGTGTTAAGCGATGAGGTGAAGCGGAAGCAGTACGACGCTTACGGCACAGCCAGCTTTGATCCTGGCGCAACAGGCGCCGGTGCTGGTGCTGGGCGCCAGTACTGGAGCAGCGGCCCCTCCATCGATCCGGAGGAGCTTTTCAGGAAAATCTTCGGCGAGTTCTCGGGGTCCCCTTTTGGCGATTTCCAGAACGTCTTCGACCAGCCGCAGGAGGTGAGGAGATGCGCGCGTTTCCTGGGGGTGTGGAGCTGCAGAGCTGGAGCAGGGCAGCGGGCTGCCAGGTCGCTCCTGGAGTGAGTTTAAGCAAAGCGTTCGCTCTGGGAATATCACCACATGAGCGTCCTGCTGTGTGTGAGGGGGTGTTCTTGGTAAGCCGCATGGATATACTTGCCACGCCTCCAGACCGAGCGTTTTTTTGTGGACTTCAGCTACTTCTGGTGTTTACTGACCCGGTTAGTGCTGCCAAGCAATTTCCATCTCTGTATAGGCAACTTTTCTGCTCTAAGTTGCTTTGCGTGTGTCTGCTTTGTGCTGTAATGACAAAAACCACAAAATACCTTTATAACTATAAAACAAGCCTTCCAGCATTGGATTTGACTGCTTAATTGGCTTAATTTTGCAAGTTAATTGGCTTCACTTTGCAGTGGAGCCCATAATAACGTAAAAACTATTTCTTGTTCTTTGCGCTGCAGCTGAACGCTCTTTAAGTTTTGACAGCCTGGATTCACGCGATGCCCTCAGATGCGTGGTGTTCAGTGCTTCCAGCTGGCAGTGGCCTTCCTGTTACAAACAGAACTTGCTGTTTTGTGGAGTCCCCTTTTCTGCTGAGTCCCCTTGCTAAGAAAGAAGAGAGTTTATTCAGGAAGAGCAGATGCTTTCTTTGGGAGCGAAAGCCTCCGTCCTTACCTGTTGATGTATTTCTGTTCAGTAAAACCTTTGGAAATACTAAAGGTCTTTCCTGAGAGCAGAAAAACAAATGACTTGTATTTATACTTGTCCCTTTTCTCTTTTAAAATCTCCTTTCTGTTACACAGTGTAATCATCCTTCCTGTAATGTTTGCCATCCTTTTTATTTATATGAGGCAGGCTGTTGCTTCCCAGATTGAGGCAGAACATTTCCGAACGAGTTGTGCATCCATCTGTTTCTTTCCCCCTCTGTTACCCGGACACATTTAAGCACAGTTTGATATTTGGCAAAATTCCAGTTTGCTTAAGACCCCACCACACATGGGTTGTGGACTGACGTCTGTTTCCCGTGCAGTACATCATGGAACTGACCTTCACCCAAGCTGCAAAAGGTGTTAACAAGGAGATTGTGGTGAACATCAACGACTCCTGCGAGCGCTGTGGAGGGAGAGGGAACGAGCCTGGTACCAAAGCGCAGCACTGCCACTACTGCAACGGCACGGGCATGGTGAGTGCTCAGAGCGCAGCAGAACCTGCCTCTCTCCCTTACTGGGCCGAGTCGGTCCCCTCCACGCTGAAGAATTCCCACTGCACTCATCGGCTTATCTTGGGTGAAATCAGGTTAATGTGGACTTGATGTTAATCTGCGCTAGGAATGTTTTTTCTAAGTTAAAGGCATGTTCTGTCCAGCTAAAGCGGTACCTTCAGGACGAGGTCAGTTTGGTACCGTGCCCAGTAAACAATATTTACCTGATGTAACAATTCTGACGTTACTTGGGCATACTTTGAGTGGAGGGCTGGAGGGTGGAGCAAGGATAGCTTAGAGATAATCATGAAATGAGAAGATGTGTGCTGCTGACAGGAAGGAAAGAAGTTAGTAAAGAAATAATCAAGCCTTGGGCTTTTGATTTTCCATGCATCAAAATGGAAACTGGCGATCAGTCTGTGGCCAGAATAGCTTGCTGTGCAGAACGGGCACAGCTGGCCAGAGGACAAGGCAAGCCTTTCCCACTGTCTCCCTGTGTGACAGGTTGGTCCATAGTTGAGTCTCCATAACCTTTTTCTGGATACAGCAGTAATTCCTGCAAGTGGCTTGTCCTTGGGCTCCTCAAGATACAGTTTGTAACGCCACGTGAAATAGCACTGTGAGGAGTCTTGTTCTTCTGCGTTACGTCCTGGAGATGAAAAGTGTTGTGTCTCCCTTCCCCAGGCCAGCAGGCGCGTGCTCGTAGTCGTGATGGTTTTCAGTGGAAATCAGCATGTGGTGATGGAAGCTGAACCTGATCCAGCTTCTCGCAGGCAGCATCCTCTTTGGATTTCTCAGCCTGTTTTCTGCTCCACCCCTTGTTAAAAGATCACGCTGCCCTCCCCTGCCCTGTCAGGCTGTACATGTGATTAGAAGGACTCAAGTCTGCTGGGCCAGTCACTGTCAGCGGTGCTGTGGAGGTGAAAAATACGACCTCAGTACTAAATATTTGGATGATCTGTGTTTTCTTGACCAGGAAACGATAAATAAGGGCCCCTTTGTAATGCGATCTACATGCCGACGGTGCGGCGGTCGTGGTTCCATCATCACAACCCCGTGTGTGGTGTGTCGAGGAACGGGGCAAACCAAACAGAGGAAGACAGTGATGGTTCCCGTGCCAGCAGGTCAGTGCTGTGTTTGTGCGCTGCTGTCTGTTAAAGGGGCTGTCGTTAGTTATTTCTGCTGGGCTAACAGCAAGGCACTTGCCAGGTACAAACGGCAGGGCAATGTAAACAAGCTTTGCTGCAGATAATTTAATCTTAAGAACAAAGCAGATCAATAGCTTGGTAATTGAAGGCATTAGCAATGAGAAAAACTTTCTGGCCGTGTGTTTGTACCTGGCAGGTAAAAATATTTGCTTTGCCCTTTTTGAGTTGAAGTTTTTTTTCTTGCATGGATCCTTTTCGGCAGTTCTTGAAGAGTGAGGCTTCCAAAAGATTTTAACTTGAATTTTTCATCTGTCCTTGGTGAAGCTGGTGGAGAGGGTGGGAATCTTTAAAACCTGAGCTTAGCCCAGAAAAGTTTGCTGATTGCTTTCCTCACCAGAGAGGACAAACCGAGCAGTGGGACTGAAGACTTGCTGCTTTGAGACCGCCTTGGGTGACCAGCATGTAATCTTCCTGTAGCTTGTAGAGGCTGTCCAGCGTTCGTTGGGCTGATGCCTTTCTCAGGAGAACTCTGTAGGGATCACCTCTGGGGTACCGGTGTGTGCTGGACCTCTGCCCTTTGGCCGTGGTGCTGGGCTCATGGTGAGGGGCTCATTGTGCCTCTGCTCGTGGTGTGCGGGCGCTGCTGCAGTGGCAGGGAGCTCACGGGGAAGCTGTGGTATCCCAGTAGCATGCAGATTATAATACAAGATGAACACGATAACATTGCCCCTTTTTTTTCTCTCTCCTGACTGCAGGTGTTGAGGACGGGCAGACAGTTCGGATGCCTGTGGGGAAGAAGGAAATTTTCATCACGTTCAGGGTACGTATCTTTACAGCTCTTTTCCATTCTTAAGTTGGTTGCTTGTTCCCTTCACAACGGCCTGGGGAGCCCGACAAAATGGGGAACGGGAGGAGGAAGAGCAAGTGATCCTTCCAAACAGCTGAGGTAACGTGATCCGTGTGAACTTTCTGAGATAGCAGAAGTTCTGCATTGTAACAAGTTGAGTCTGCTCGTGAAGAATTGTGCTGCTGGTTCTGGGGTGAGGCCTTTTGTGGGAGTGTGTATCAAAACACAGAGCAGGTTCTTGGTGCCTTGAGAATTTGACTCGGAGGCTTGAAGGAGGAGTCTGCCTGCAGCGGTGGGAGTGCTGAGGAGGGCTGGAGGAATGCACGTGAGGCTGGCTGGTCAAGTGTCCTGTTGCAGATTTGCATTAAGTGCTGCTTTGCACATTCTTTGTAGCTGGGGCCCTCTTCTCCTGTAGGCATCCTGTTACTTCTCCTGTAGGCATCCTGTTAGATGCAGCTCTGTCAGGGAGAAAACTTTTTTTTTTTCAGTACCTTGGTGGTGCAGGAGGATTTAATTCTCTTCCAGCTTGTGAGGCCACTGCACAGGTTCCTGCTTCCCTCTTCAGGCTTTCCTTTTTTTGGGGTACTGGACAAGACAGTGTGGTCTTTGTCTCTGCAGAATCGTACTGACACTGAATTAACAAACGGGATTAGAGGAGGGAGCTGCTGAGCCCTGAGCCTCTGGCTAGTTACGGTTATGTCAAGAGCTGTGATTCTCTAAAAGACTGAACGTTAACCTAGACTTGTTAGCCACGTGGCTTGTGGGCGGTGAAGGGTCTGGCTGCAGCTTTCTGGTGTTCTCTGCTGAGACCTTTCCAAACAGTTTACCGCAATAACTCTGTATTGTTCTGCTAACTACTTTTTGCAACTGCCTGCCTTTCAGGTTCAAAAAAGTTCCGTGTTCAGAAGAAATGGCGCAGATATCCATTCAGACCTCCTTATTTCAGTAGCACAGGCTGTTCTGGGAGGTACAGCCAGATGTCAAGGCTTGTACGAGACAATCAATATCACGGTAGGTACCGTTACGTGGAAGAGCTCGGGCATAGATCACTGTGGGACATCAGAGCCCCGCTTTGCTGCAGAGATACTGCAGATCTCCCAGGTCCCCCAGTATCAAGTGCCAGACTTCTTCAGCACTGAGTGTCAGGTAGCTTGCGACCTGCTTGGGCCCACCTCCTTTCCAGCTCACTGTGTGGGGACAGGGACAGGAGCAGCTGGGTGGATTGCTGCACAAATCCCTTCCGAAGTCATCTGAACCCTGCTAGGTTCTTTACAAGCTTTCCCATCCTTGTTGACTCAGCCTCTGTACATGTTCAGATGCACGAACCTGCCAGATCTCTCCCATCTTATTTTGAAGCCTGCTGGAGAAATAATTGATTACAAACACACAACACGATTACTATGTAAATGCATACAGTGGAATAACAAACGTGCCCCGTGTGTGTTCACAGATACCCCCTGGTATTCAGCCAGACCAGAGAATTCGAATGAGTGGGAAAGGCATTCCCAAGGTTAATAGTTATGGCTACGGAGACCACTACATTCACATAAAGATAAAAGTTCCTCAGTAAGTAATGCAAATTTCTGGGAAATGTTGAGCTTTTTGCAAAAAAAAAGAAAATTGTTCAGAAAGATTTTGTGAAAAATTCTTACTGCTTTGTCAAGATCTGTTTTGAATTTTCCTTGGATAGTTAGAGTCATTCCTCTGCCTTTTTTTTTCCCCAGTGTGAGGTAGACAGGCAGACTTTTGGATTTCTGTTGTGTTTTTTGTTTGTTTGCTTGCTGTTTTTGAGAATACAATTTGGCAACACAGCTGTAAAAATCCTAACTCCTAGAAATATATAAATAGTCACGCACCTGGATTTCTGCCACTTTTTGTCTGGAACCCAGTTATGTAAATTCAGTGTTCTGGCTCACAACACGTCCGTCTGTGCTCTTATACCTGCAGCTTCAAGTAACTGAGGTCCTTGGCAATTGTTTTTCAGGCTGCCTCACCACCCTCTGCTTCTGTGGTGAAGCAAACTTTTTAGTTTGCATTGCTGCACGCAGCAAGGGAGTTCATTTCCTGAGGCCTCCCCCCACAGATGTTTGTGCTGCTGCAGCTCCAGATGTTTCTCTCAGCACTTGAAAAGGTTTTGCTGTTTCCCTACAGTTTGGTGAACTGCAGTGGGTCATCTCTCTCCTCTTCCACTGGGGCTTGCTCTTTATAAATTGGTCACAGGGATTCGTGGTGAATGCCAGATTAATCTTGTGCTTCTAGTAGCTGCCTGTTGCGTGTGCTGCCCGAGGAGGTGAAGGCAGCCGTAACCACCAGCTCTGTCTTTGACCTGCAGGAGGCTGACGGATCGCCAGAGAGCCTTAATGATGAGCTATGCTGAGGACGAGAGAGATGTGGACGGCACAGTGAACGGAGTCACAAATACAGCATCAGGTGGGCTGGGGGAGTTACTGCTCCTTCCCTGGGGAGGTGGTGTGGGAGGGCACAACGTGTCCTGGGGACTCGGGGGGCAGCGAAAGGTGAGCCGAGGTGACTGTTGGACAGCGTGTCAGCACAACCTGCCAAGCATTTACTTTGAAATTAGTTTCAGCGAGATGTTAATGGGCTGTGGCACAAAGCCTCTTCCCAGGGAGCATTGCTCTGATAGTCACTGGGCAAAATCGGTGTGAACAAAGAGCAGGTACTGCGATGCTCCAGGTCCTGACAAGTTCTGGTGAGTCTTGCTGTGGTGAGGAATGCCTTCTGCTGCCGGCTTCTCCCCCTGGGCCAGAAGTAACTTGTCATGGTAGCAGAGGTGGAAAAAGTGAATGTGCTTCAGGGCAGCTCTCTGCGTGAGCTAATCCGTCCTCAGCGCTTGCTTCTGGCTGCAGTGGGGATGTTTCTCCTTGAAAGCTGAAGGGGAGTACTGCTGTCAAGGTTACTCTGAGCCATCCTTGGTGTGCGTGGGGAAACCTTGGCTAGGAAGGTTTGTTGGTGCTGGGTGTTGGCTCCAGTTCAGCAGAGAGCATCCAGCATGAGGGAAGGCATGAAGTCAGCTGGGAGCTTTGCAAAGCTGCTTTTTCAGTCCCAGATTAAAACCTTGGATCCAGCAATTGTTTTTTAAGTGTCAGTGGTGAGGTATCTGGCAGCAATAGCAGCTGCAGGCAAAATATATGCAGAACAGTAAGGCAAGACAAACATTTTGGCTTTTCTGCTAGCAAAACAGTGTTTTCTTTCCTCTCACTGGAACAATGAGCTTCTTAATGCCTGTTAGATTGGGGTTTATTTTTGGTTGAAACCAAAAAGGGCACTGTTGACTGTGTACAGCAGGCAAAGGTAAGATTTTCTGAGCTGCTAAGTGGTTGTGGGAATTCAGGTCCTTTCTACCTCACGTGCCAAAGCCTGTGATATTGGAAGTTCAGGATACTGGAAGGTGGACTCTGCCATATCCTTACCAATGTTGTGTTTTGTAGTGCTTTGATTCAGAAGTGAATGGGATTGTCTTGTCCACTGCAGGTAACATTAAAGATGCATCTTGAAGGGAAGGGGAGAGATCTCTTAAATGCAATTAAGCAACAAGGTGGATTAAAACCAAGGCCAGTAGCTTGCAGTATTGAGACAGGCTGCTGCTGAAAGCCTGTCCTTGCTCTGGGAGGCGGAAAGTACCCTGAGTGGATGCAGGCACGTTCTGCTGCAGGCCTCAGTGTTTCATACTGTTGCATCAGTCTGAGCTCGAGTGTCGGCTGTGGGAGGATGGGGAGGACTGGACTTTGTGCCCTCTGTGTCCCAAAAAAGGCTGGGGAGGATTTTGGGTTTTGTTACGGGTGGTTAGGCTGCAGAAAAAACAGAGTAGCAAAGAAGTTTCCTTTGTTTTTGCTGTAGCCACTTCTCAGAAGGACAAAAAACTTCTCAGGACTTTTTTATATAGGAAAACTTTGCCAGCTGCTGCCAGTAAGGTTCCTATCTGGGCACTTGTTCTGAGATATCTGTAGCCTTTTTCATTCTAGCCTGAGTTCAGTTTCTCCTTGATACTGTTTGTGAGAATCACTTACAAGGGGCTCCTGCTGTGGTTTCACACTCCTTTGCCCTAAACGTGACACAGATGATGGATGAAACATGGGCAGACAGATTTTTCCAGGGACCACTAGCGTAGCTTTTTCTTCTGTAGGGTGAAGTCTAGAACCTGCTTTCAGTGGCAGACTCTTGGTTCTGGGTGCTTGTGTTCTGTCAGGCCTCTGCCCTGCTTGTGCAGAGCACTAGGAATCCCCTGGGCAGCTGGAGGGCTGAGGAGAAGGGAAAGGACCGACGCTACCTGGGCTGACGTCCTTCTCTTCCCCTTCTGGGTCCAGGCTCTTCGGTGCTTTCAGAGTGGCCCCCGTACCGCGGCTCGCTGCCTGCTGCAGCCCCTCACAGGCAGAAATATGTGAGGGTGCTGGCAGAACCAGCTGACCCGACCCTTCCCAGTATAAAATAACTCTCTCCCTTTGTCAGGGGTGCTGGCTGCTGGTGGGAGATGTAGCTGGGGCAGCCTGAGGAACGTATCTGACTGCAGCCCTTTGCTGTTTGTGTCCAGGTGGCAGGGCCACGGCTAGAGCTGGCGCAGGCGAGGATAGGCCTGAGGCTGAGGAGAACAAGGAGGGATTCCTTTCCAAACTTAAGAAAATGTTTAGCTCCTGATACCCATCCGAGGTAGGAAGCCTCTTGTGTTTTGTTGTTGATTTTTCCCCCACACCGAGCGGAACTTGCCCTTCTTGGGAGGTGGAAGAAGCGAAAGCAACGCGCTGCTTCTCACTTAGCCTCAGGCCTTCCAGCCACCGATGTGACCAGCCCTAGCTGTCCCCTGCGACCTGGAGCAAAAAAACAGGGCCCCAACCGCGTTGTTGCTGCACCAGAAACGCTGGAGACAGCTTCGGGGAGGTTGGTGGCTTCCCCTGCAGCTCCTGGGAGTACTTGTCCCCTTAGGGACCGTCCCTTCTCCAAGCGCTGAGGGTGTTCCTGTGAGCTGGCAAAGCTGGGGCTGGGCAGTTCTGCTGCTGCTGGGAGGTGCAGGAGGGGCCCGCAGAGCCTCTGGTGCTGGTCGTGGGCTGACAACAGCCCACTTGGAAATATTCCTTTGGATTTCAGGGGCTCGGCTTCAAAGTCATCCGCTCCCTGTGGGTGACAAAGGGTGACCGCAGGTCAGGCGGGGATGTGCTCGTGCTCCAAAGCAGGCTGGAGGGGTTGTGCACCTCAATCTGGTGCATTCGGGAGAAATTAAACATTTTGCTTGCTTCAATTGCAGGGAAACGTTCTACTGGAAACTAAGAGCCAGCAGCAGCAGATCACCTTAGCAGTCGGGGATGGATCCTTCTGGCAGCGGGCTCTGGAGAGCGAAGGATGTCGGTCAGCAGCACAGTGAGAATCCCAGCTGGAGGCCACAAAGCACCGCGGCACCAACCCTCATCACGATACAAAAGCAACCCAGCGTCCTAGGAAATGGTAACAATGGAAGATGCCAGCTTTGTGGTAATGTGGGTGTCTCCTGAGGTTGTTCCACTGTCCATACTGCTGCTAGAAGCTTATTTGGTTTAAAAAAAAAAAAAAGTATTATTTAGAATCTAAACCAGTGGAAATGTGAAAATAAAGAATTGTCCTTCCAGCACAGAGCGGAGCAGTCTGCTGTATGGAGCCCGAGATGGCTGCTGGTCACTCAGGTGCCCCTCTGAATGCTAGACGTGCGTGGTGAACTTGGCACTGCTTATCTTCTCCTAGGAGACTCGGTGTGCCCGTGGCTTTTAAGCCTGTCTTCACAACAGTCTCCCGTGCCCTTCTAGCCACCCTGCATCGCGCTCGCAGCAGGATGTCTCTCCCTTCTGCTGGGACTTGTCAGAGCCCAGCTGCCCCGGCTTCCTCCGCAGCCCTGGGTTTCTTAGTCCTGCTGATTTCCTGCACGAAGCGCAGAGGTGGGATCTGCGCTTTGCCTCAGGTTTCCTCCCCCTCCTCACCAACTGAAGTTACTACGGAGATGCTGTTGCTTCTGAGCTGGGACAAGCTTGTCACCAAGCCCTTTGCCAGTTTGGACAAACTATTTTATTGTTAGTGCAACACCCATAGCATAAACGATCGGTCAGAGTCATTGTTCTACATGTGTGAGAATGCAAGTGAAGTGGATCGCTCCTTCCAGGAGGAGCTGAGCTCTTGCAGTGAGTATTTTCATGGTTACAGTTGCCCGCTGTTGTTAGCTATGCCGTGCAGGTACCATCAGCCCACACACTAATCGACCAGCTAAACGAGAACATGTCGTAGTCCTGCCCTTCTTAATTTGCTGAAATAAAGCACGCGTTGCCTCCTGATTAAATTGCCTGTAAAGTGATTCTGTATCCATGTAAATAAGATTGATAAAGATATTTAACACTGTGCCTCGCTGCCTTGTTTGCTCTTCCCCCATCCTGCCTCTGGGGGTTTGTCTTCGCTCCCTTCCCTGCCCCGGTGATGGGCAAGGGATGAGGGGTGGCTCTGGGATGGGGGCGCAGGGCTGGGTGATGGGGTCATGCCCACACCTGACTTGAAGCAGGAAGACAGCCGTGGCCCAGAGCTCACCCAAACAGTACCTCTGGGGGAGGGAAAAAGCTTTTTAAACAAGTCTTAACTCCTAAGGCTGGATAATTGTCAAAGTTATACTCAGCTGCTGAGGGCAGTGTTTGAAATCAGCCCTGGGAGCCCAAAGGCCAGGCTGCAGCTGCCGGGAGCTGTCTGGGTTGAGGAACTGAAGCTCTCACCCCTTGGGGCTGTCAGCAGCAGGCCCTGTCTCTGCAGACATGCGGCCCGGCCTACCTGTGATGCCTGAACGTGGTCCAAGGAGAAGCCCCAGCGCTGCTTTGGGGCACTGCTGTGGGTACCTGATGGGGCACAATGCTACTGGGAGCTGAGTGCACGACGTGCGGTATGCTCTGAGCTGCCTAGGGCAGTGTGTGATCCCGAGAAACCAATCCCACAGATGTGAAAACACCCAGAATCACTCAACACCTCCCTAAATTCAGTGTGCGAGGCAGTTACAGTCACAGCCCAGCTGACACGCTGCTCCTGCATGTGCCCCTGGATGGCAGCAGCCCCCAGGCACGAGCAGAAAGCTGCGTGGCTCATGGCCTCAGCCAGGTCCCACTACCTGCTGCAAAAGCTGGGGTGGAAGATGAGAGAAGGAATGGTCAGAAAGCAGCTTTGTTGTCTGCCAGCCACTGATGGAAGGTGCGGGCCTTGGGGTTGAGTTTCATCGTCAGCTCCACGTCGCGCTCTGGCCTCAGGGCGTAGAAACGGAACATCGCAGCCAGCTCCTTCGCCCCCGGGAAGCCAAGTTTCTCGTACTCCTCTGGTGAGATCTGCAGAGAGAACCAAGGAAAAGCACTGTCTGCACAGGGCAGAGGCTGTAGGGCATTTCTCTTACACCATGCAGGGAGGCCAAAGAGGACTGCATTACAGCAGTCTGCTGCATTAATTTCCATGGGTGAGGAAGGATCTGCTGCTCAGCAAATTTATTGGGTAGGGTCCACGAGGTCCCCCAGCCCATCCTTCCTCTAGCGTAAGGAGAGTGTGTGTAGGGGGACATCACACAGCAGATGCTGAGGAGCTTGTTCTGCATCTGTCCTGAGGCAGCTGCCTCCCAAATCCTCAGCCACGTGGCCGGGCAGTGTCACTGAGCACCCTGCGGTCCCGTCTGGCAGGGAACACCGGCTTCCCACCCCCCTCAGCAGCATCAAACACACCGAGGGGGGCTTCCTACCTTGGAGGCTTCCACGGTCTTGCCTGTCTGCTGGGAGAAGGCAGCGGCGTACTCTGCCACGGTGAGCTTGCCGGTGCTGAGCCCGATCACTCGCCCTACGTACTCCTCTGGGGACTTCAGCAGGCTGAGCACAACGGGGCCCAAGTCCTCCACTGCCATCCCATCCATGGGGGTGTCCCCCATGGGCAGCGCTGTAGGGGAGAGAGCGATCCCAGTCAGAGCACAGCCCTGTGCAAGAGCCCAGCTCCTGCGATGCCCAGTTTTTGGTACCCTGCCCCTGAACACGAGGTAGGGAAAAAACGGGATCTTCTGAGTCCTCTATGTTCTGAGCTGTGGAGGAGCCCACATAGGGGATGGTTCCTCCAGCACAGGGAGCTTGTGCCGAGCAGAGAAGAAGTAGGGGCAGCGAGCTGCAGAGCGAGAGGCCCCGTCTTACCCAGGACAAACGCGTCTCCTTGTGGGGCCTTCTCAGGCCTGAAGCAAGAAAGGAAATTCTCAAAGTAGCACGGCATTCGGATAATCGTGGTGGGAACGCCGATGGCCTGGAAGTACTCCTCCACCACGCCTTTGCCATCGAAGTGGGGCACCTGGAGGCGGCCTCCCGTCAGCTGCTGGACGTTCTCCAGGCCGCTGTACACCACGTGGCGCAAATCCAGGCGCTTCGACAGATCAGCCAGCCGCTTCCCCTGTGTGAGAATGACACCGGCCACGAGGAGAAGCAGGGCTCCCATGGGACACACGCAAGCTTTCATCCCCACACACCCCTTCCCCTTCGTTCCACCGGGCGGGCAGCATCCAACACACCCGGGGACACGCTCCACACACCTCGTGCTCTGGCCAGGGCTGAGCAGACCCGGCCAGGTGGAGCAGTCCTCTGCTTACACATCCTACTTTAAAGGGTCACAAACCCTCCAGCTCCTCCGCCAAGTGCACAAACCCCAACCCTAAGCACCTACCAGGGACCTGCCCTAGCAGATCTTACCTTCTGAAGCCACCAGCCTCCCCTAGGGTGAACTCCTCCCACTGGGGAAAGCCCCGGGATTTCTGATGCTGCCACATGTTTTGGCCCCAAAGCTGTAAGTACAGCAGAGCGCAGGCAGCCACAGCCCTGGCTCCCTCCTGGGAAGGCTCTGTGGGGCCGTCAGCCCACCCTCCACCGCCCCGAGTCTCTGGGCATCTAACTGTGACAACGTGGGTGCAGGGAAGGAGTTCTGGCTTTGCAAGGAGCAGGACCTGATCCATTTTCAAAGCCTGGTGACTGCGCCTGAGCCAGTGGGGCTGGCGAGGCTGCAGGAAGGGCTCTGAGAGCACCCGCGCCCTGCTGCCACACGGCTGTACCCCCACCAGGTGAGGGGTCCGGGACAGCAAGGCGCTACCTGCTCCACTTCCCTCTCCTGGCTGCAGTGCTCCCAGAAGTCGGTGACCACGAAGGCTCCGTAGGCGCCCTCCAAGGCCGGCTCCAGCGTCCGCCCGTCGTCCAGGTCCGCCGCCACCACGCGGGCCCCCAAACGCCTCAGCTGCGCGGCCGCCCTGCTGCCGGGTCTCCGCGTCACGGCACGGACCTCCCTGGTGCCCTCGGCCAGCAGGGCCCGAACCACCGAGCCGCCCTGAGCCCCTGTGGCCGGGGATGAAGCGGGGCCATGAGCCAGGGGCCTACCGGCCCCAGCCCCCAGCCTGCCCCAGGCCCTTGCTCACCGGTGGCCCCGAACACGACGAGCGGCCCCCGGCCCGCCATGGCCTCACCGCAGGCACCTCGGCTCCGCTCGGCTCCACTCGGCTCCGCTCGGCTGCCTTCGGCTCTGCTCGGCTCCGCTCGGCTCCTTTTGGCTCTGCTCAGCTGCATTCAGCCCCGTTTGGCTGTGCTCTTGTGGGAGCGTTACTTCCTATTATTATAGGACGGACAGACTCTGACCACTTTAATTACAGAAAAGGCAGCCTCACATCCCTGCAGCCAGCCTGGAAGCTGCGGCTGGGACAGGCTGCGGCAGCGAGCACGCTGCGAGAACAAGAGCAGCCCTTTGTATGGACACCACAGAAACACTGTGCTGTGTGACCCGAAATATATCCGTTCGTGTCATATCTATCCGTTTGTGTAATATAGATATTTATATTAATATAGCTTATATTATATAATATAATATATAATATATATTATATTATTATATAATATTATACACAATATATATATTATATTATATTATATATATAAATATAATATATAATCTATATAATATTATATATAATATAATAATATATATATAATATATATAATAATATAATAATCTATATAATATTATATATAATATATAATGTTATATAATATATTATATATTATATATAATATACATTATACATATCATATTATATTATATATAATATACATTATATAATATATAAGCTATATTAATATAAATATCTATATTACACAAACGGATAGATATGACACGAACGGATATATTTCGGGTCACACAGCACAGTGTTTCTGTGGTGTCCATACAAAGGGCTGTGCTTGTATATATATATTATATATTATAATTAATATTCATACTTATATATTAATGATACATCATATTAATATATTAATACATTAACCATATTAAATATATTATATAAATATGTTTATATAATTTTATATATCAATTAGTATATATTTACTATATTAATACATACTTATATATATATATATATATATGGGTTCATATTAATATATATAAGCAAACATACGGGCACATGATACTAGCTGAAAAAATAAATAAACATCCTTTTTCCCCAAGACCCAGGGGCAGCACAATGGGCATCGGGGATCTCAGTGGGGCTCCATTCGTGCTACCTGCCAGAAAGGGAGCGACCCCTTCCCCACGCAGGACACGCTGTCCCCACCCCACACGCAGGGCAGGTGGCAGCAAGCAGGCCTGGCACGGCGATGGACACCCACTGGGGGCCTGGAGACGGCCCCACGGAGTGACCAAAAAGCCCGAGGCGGACGGGACCCACCAGGATCCTTGCGTCCATCTCCTGGCTCTACGTGGGGCAACCTGAATTACACCTTGAGAGCGTTGCCCTAACGCTGCTCCGGTGCTGGTAGAAGAACAGCTCTGGGAAAAAGGGACTTTATTCCTCTCCTTCTGCTCGTTTTCAAGATACAACTTGAATTTACCAGTGGAACGATGAAGGTTTCCTGGTGCAGCCCAGCGAGGGGAAGAGCTGCTGTGCGTGGCAGCAGCCTCCTCCGTGGGGTCTTCCCAAAGCTTCAGCCCCGGCTTTGCGACGTTCAGCACCCAGCTCCCCTGAGTTCTGCCCACGCAGGGCTCCCCTGTGCTGCTGTTTGGGGGGAATTTTTGTTTGAAATCACTCGGTGTAGATGCAGCAGCCAGGAGAGCAGCCGTGGCCGGGGCCTCACGTGGGCTGGGGTGGTTACCAGCGCTGTGGGTTTCTCGGTAGAGCCGCGCTTCAATTTGCCTACACGGCAGCCCGACAGCTCTGCCGCGACAGGAAGGAAGATCGAGCAAGACCCACAGCACAGGAAGGGGCAAGGAGCGAGACAGAGCAAAAGCAGCTCGGCTGGCACGGCACGGTGGGCGGGGGGCACCGCCACCACCCCTGGGGTGCTGCCCCGGCTCCTCTGTGGGGGCCCACGGCCCACAGCTCCTCCTCGGGTCCCAGAGGGGCAGGGGCAGGGGCTCAGCTTCCATTTTCTGACTCAAGCTTGAGCATCCGGGCGGTGAGAGAGCGAAGCTTTGGGGAGACGTCTGAGCAGGGCCATGCAGGGGCGCGGAGGATGCTCCCACCAGGACTAGGGGCATCCTCCCTGCCGCCCTGCTCGCACGGGGATGTGGAGAAGGCGGCACGAGGCAGAGGTAAGGTGCTGGTGGGGCTGGTTGGAGCTTGGCTGTTGTCACTTGGGTGGCGTGTGGGATGTCAGGGTGCTGCTTGGGTGCCGCTTGGTCGCCCAGCGTGGGGACGAGCTGCTGCACACCTCGCTGCGGCAGCCATGCGTGGCGGCACCGGCTTTGCTGCTGTGAGACGTCCTGGCTCTCCTGGTCCGGGCTTCTCACAGCTCAGCCAAAGGGGGAGAGGCTCAGGAGCAATCCTGTTCAACGGGGACATGCGTGGCTCCTCGCGGGGATGTGTCCCTCATCACGAATTCTGTCCCCTTGCCTGCTGCTGGCTGCACACACGGGCCCGGTGCAGCCTGCCCACCTCGCGCACCGCCAGGTTTTGCCCCCAGGTTCGTGCCATTTTGGTGACTTCAGTCCTCTTCAAAAACAGCCAGAGAAATGTAGCATAAATAGAATGTGCTATTTATGTGGTGTAAACAGGAAAGGATGAGATTAGCATCCATCAGTGCATCATGCTGCCCACTAGCACAGCACATCAAAGAGCGCACGGTGGTCCTGGGGCTGGGATGAAACCAGAATGCGCCTTGAAAGCTTCTCTGCTGGGCTACACCCGCACGTCCTTCTGCAGGACATGGGAACACTGAGCCCACCCTGGGCCCAGCCACAGGAACAGTGAGACCGAAGGCTCAGTGGCTGCTCCTGGTACCTCCTTGGGCTCTTTCTGCTTGTAGGGATCCCAAACACGATGCCCAAACTGCAGGTGCCAGGGCAGGCCAAGGAGGGGGCCGTGTGCCCATGCCCAGCATCCTGCAGCGTGACACTGCGTGCTGGGCACTGCGGGCGGTGCGTGAGGCTTCATCCTGCTCTTATTTAAGCACCAAAGAGCATCAGGGATGCTATGAACCCTGGGGCAGGGGATTGGTGGGAGAGGGCAGCCAGATCAGGGGCTGGGTGCTGTCACACCTGCGGTTTGAGCGCTGTGTGGAGGGCGATCCAAAGCCAGGTAATTTGGGGCAGTCTGAGAGCGCAGCACCAAGGACGTTGGGTGTTGGGTAAAAGTTTCTTGAGAACTTGCAGCTGGTTTTGGGGGTTCACAACCGCAGCTCTGGGCAGGCGCCGTGTGACCGAAGCCCTGGGGGACCTGGCACATCTCCAAGGCTCGGCGGCGGGGCAGCACCGCGGCAGCTCAGCGCCCTCAGCTCTGCCTCCCGCTGGGGCCGAGGCTGGCCTCGCTGCAGGGCAGGCTCCTGCTCAGTGTTTGTGCTGAAATCCTGAGAACGGAGATCCCCAGGGCGAGAGAGGCTGAAACTGCTCACGGGGAGAGGATCTGCGTTTCCGTGAGCTGCAGACACATATGTGCTGAAGTTTGTCCCGGGGGCATGGTTGGCTCAGTAAGTGCTTCATTTGTCATTTGGAGGCTTCTGAGGTGTAGCAGCACCCTGCAGGAAACCTCCTCTCTGAAATTAGCTTCATTTTTGTCGGGTTGGAGGTACCTGTAGATCAATCCTTGCTTTTTGCTGATGAGATCTGGTGTTCGGGCTCCTAGCACGCAGCCCGCGGGCACTCCCCGGCTCCTCACCTCCGCTGCTCGCTGTTTAACTCCAGCTGGGTCCGGGCCCTGCTTTTCTGGTTGAGGTTTTGGAGGAAAAAACAAACCTGGTAGGGGTTAGGTGTGGTGCATCTAGAAGATATTTACTGGGGAGTGAGAGCACTGCCTGCTGCGATGCTGGGACGCGCGAGGCCCGGCCAGCCTTGGCTCCTGGTGACACTTTACACGGGTCAGGCTCTACAGGGTAGTGCTGGGGTAAAACAGCCTCTGGGGCCTCTGGTTTTGAGAAAGTCCTCCTGGTAAATAAGGGTTGGAGGGAGAGCACACACAGGAAACTCTCTGTGTGGGCACAATCATTTTTGCTAACATTACGTGCAATCAGTAAAAATAAAATTAGGTGGCATCTTAAAATGGTGTGCAAGCCTAGGTGGGTGAATTACCTGCAAATCCATCGGTTCCGAAATTGGGTCTAACGCAGAAGATGCTTCAGGGAAATTCTTTTCTGTTCTGCCAAAAGGTGGCAGCCCGTGCTGCGCCGGGAGGATTTGCTCAAACCATCGGTGGAAGGAGAGCAGCTGGAGGGGATGGCCCAGTGCGATGGCCTGCGATGCGCTGCCCCTTGGAGAGCTGCCCTCCCTCCCCGCCCCGCAGGGAAAAACCAAAGCACCCACTGCTGCTGGGATGGTGAATCAATAAGGGAGCCTTGCAGCAAGAGCATCACCACCTCCCACCTCACCTGAGCAGGGGCAGTTTTCTACTTTTGGCTTCCAAACTTGTCACCGGCTTTACCTACAGCCCCGAGCCCCCGCTGCTCTGGGGACAGATCCTGGGGACCCAGAGCTATCACGCCGCCTGCCCCAGCTGGAGCAAGGTGCCACCCAGCCTCATGGGTGCCAGGAAATGGTGGGAAGAGAGGCTGGTTTCTCTCTGAGCAACGCTGCTGCCATGGCTGGGGGACAGCGAGCACAGGAGCACCGTGCTGCTGGGCTCGGTGTGGGGCTTCCCGAATTAACCAGCAAGCCCCAGCGGGGTGCTCGTGAAAGGAGGAGAAGGCAGAAGCAGCACCAAGGGTTTCTGCTGGTTTGGGGGCACGGAGCTGCACTGGAATGGGCAGACCTTTGCTCCTAGAGGCACCTGGTTGATAACGCAAATATTAATTAACGTAAGAGGCTTTATAACATACCTCAATACTGCAGATCAGCCAATTTCCAGTTTTCCAGGCAGTCTGGTGTCTGCAAGACTCCATGCCATGCCAGCCTGTCCTGTCTGCAATTCCTGGGCACGGACGTGTTGTGGACACGCGCCCTCTGCTCGCAGGCGTGGGACGAAGGAGGTAGGGCCAGAGCTCTGCTAAGGGACAGGGCGAGTGCTGCCCGGACATCCTCAGGTGGGCGACTCTTCTGCTGGAAGACAAAAGCAAAGCTAAAACCAAAGCACTCCGCAGGACTCTGCCGTGCCCAGGGGTCACCAGCAGAAGCCTCCCCGTGCACTGGCACTCCGCTCACCCCAGCCAGGGGTCCTCATGTCCCCAGAGCCCCATGTCTGGTGGCATCCCACTGCGTGGGACCCTCCTGATGATTACCACCACCTTCTTGCAAACGAAATCCCCCATCTCCCTGCCTGGGGCTCACAGATGCCATTTCAAGTGTGCAGCTTCCCCTTCTCCCTCTTATCACCTCGGTGCCCCCAGGGGCACCAGCAGCAAGGCAGGACAGACACAAGCCACCGCTGGATCCCCCTCGGGTGGCCACACGGTACTTGCAGCCTCCTGGCCCCTGCAGATAACATCTTCTGCCCTCCTGGAGAGAACCAGCACCCACCGGGCAGCCCTGGAGCTGCGTCCATGGGAAACTTTCGTGCCGGAAGCAGAAAAAAAAAATTGCTGCCTCTGCAACATTTCTTCTGCTGCTTTCTTCTCTGTATCAGATGGTTTTGGATGAGCTGAGCCACGGCTGCTGGCTTCCAGCAGCAGGATTACGTTTTGATGTAGCACCAAGGGATGCGATCAAATAATCTCTAGCGTTAGAGCAGGTTCTCCCCCATCAAAGGGCTTTTCCTGACCAGCCACGTTTCAGAGGAAGGGCTGACGGGGAAACATCACTGCAAGCAGCAAAAACCCCTTTCATTTTAACCATGCTGCTGGTTGCGGAGCAAAGATGAGAAACCTAGAGGCTGCCTGCATGCAAAGACTTAATTGAATCTTCCAGGCCAGTTAGAGACAAGACGACATCAAAGGGTGAAAATTTTGCTGTGAACTGCTCCCCGCGCTCCTTTAATTTGTGCTGATATTTTAATTGGACCTAGAGGCTGCCTGAGGGGTGAAATGCGAGGCAGCTGAGCTGCCTCCGGGCCTCTGAAACCAGAGGGTCAGAGCTGGGCAGCCGAGGAGGAGCAGAAGGACTTGGCTTTCCGTCTTGGAGGGAGAGTGGGTTCAGACCCAACTACCCTTAAAACAGCACCAGCACCCCAAAAACCCTTAAAACAGCACCAGCACCCAATCCGTGCCTCAAACCTTGGCTTGCCAGCGGGTGGACAGTGATGGGCTGTGTAGGAGAGCTGTGTCTGTCGCTGTGCACCACCGGCTGTGAAGGGTCTCGAGGAGAGAGCGGCCCCACGGTGTGTGCAGGGTCCCCAGGACTCGGCTCCGCTCCTCCCTCCTGCACCCTGGGCACTCACCCCTCGCGTCTGCTGTCGGAAAACACAAATCTCACACGGGTCTCCTGGCAGGATGAGCAGGGGAGACTGCAAAGGGGCTGTCCCACATCCTAGCCTTGTACCATGGACCTGACCACGGACCAGAATCTCCTCCAGGTTCTCTTGGTTGACCTGTATCAACGTTTTTTCTCTGGAAGAGGTCGGGTTTGTTTGAGCAAAGCAAGTGAGAGTTAGCTGGGGCTGCTGGGCAGGCAGCACAAAGCCCCTGTGGTGCCCACGTTGGACTCAGGAGAGGGTTTGGGAAGGGCAGTCCTGCCTGCGAGCTGGGTCACTTCTTGCACAGCACCTGGCTGGCACGCCTCGGGGTGAGGTGGCACGGACCTACACAGCCCTGGTGCCGTGCCAGGGCACTAGGATGTGGCATCTGGGTTGCTGCTGCCCAAAGCAGCTGCCCCAGGAGGTGCTGGGGCTCCTGGCTCCACGGGCTGAGCAGTTCCCACCCGGACACAGCCACAGCGATGGTTTTAGGGCTGGCGAAGAGGCACGGTGCAAAGTGCTAATATAGATGAAGCCTGGAGCATGCTCAGCGGTATTTCCCTCCTCACCTCTACTCTCTGCTTTAAAAACAATGGGGCTCAGTGACTGGAGGCGCTTCTAAACAACAAACCAAAAGTAAGAGCAGTCTGGCAGCGGTCCTGCAGCAGACGAGGGGGTGGGCAGGAGCTTTATCTGCGCTACGATTCATCAGTGCTGCCACTGAAGTGGAGCACCTACAGCTCTGCAACAGGATGTGGTGTTTGCCACCGCTCAGCGAGCTGTGACGGGGGTTCTGGACGGCAACGAGGTGGCTTGGAAACCGAAACGGGTCCTCTGTCGTTCTGCTGCTGCCCCACAACTTCCTTTACAACAAAAAGAAACTTGAGCAGCGCACAGTGCTGCTGACCCACGGGTGACAGGGCTGGCACCCCAACGCTTACCGGGTGCCCTGCGGGTGGCACAGGGGTGTCACCACACCTCTGGGCACTTCACACAGACACAGTGCCTGAGAAAGGCGCCTGCAGAAGCAGTGCTGGTGAAGGCACCAAGCCTGCAGCGAGGTCCGGGCAAGCAGGCAGAGATGCTGCAGCACGATGGGCTCAGCCCCAGCCCAGCTCACAGCAGTCTGAGATTTTGGCTGACCTGAGCCCCAAGCTAAGACGGATGCTGCTGGATTTTGGTGTCAGAGGATCCGAGCTCTGCACGCAGCAGCCTCAGCTCTGGCGTGGGCCCAGGAGGGCTCGTGGCAGTGGCATCCCCCTGTGCCAGCGGTGGGGAGGGCAGCGTTACCTCGAGGCAGCTCCCTCCCACGCCACTCCTCTCGTTCCAGCAGGAAGATGGATAAGGGCTGAGCGGGGCAGCCAGAGCTCGCACTGACGTGCCGTCTGCTGTGTGTCCACCCGAGGGAACACCGGGCAGTCCATGGGAAGGTGGTGGGCACAGGCTGAGAGCCGTGCTGCTGCCAACACCGCGCTCCTCGCCCCGGGATCGCCGATGCCACGGGAGGCCTCTGATGGAAGGTGAGTGGTGGCCGGAGGGAGCCGCAGGGACACTGACACTGACACGGGCAGGTCCTCGGGTCTGGCTGTGGCTGGGCTCTGCAGCAGGACAGGCAGTGGGCCAAGGAAGTCCAGCACCTTGGTGGGGTTTGTGTCCAAAACTGGGGTGAGGTGGGGCACCCCGGTGTGAGCTCCAATGGTGGTCCCTGGTCTGAGGGCTTGGGGACTGCTGTGCTGGCATGGGGGGAGCAGCTGCCTCTGAAGGCAGACGGTGTTCCTCAGACCCTGCTCTGTGCAGGCTTTGTTTCCATCATCTCTTGTGTTCTTGGGTTTCTTTAACTCCATTTTCTATAGCCACCACCTTGGCCGAGCACCTCCTAACACACCACAGTTTTGGGAAAGCATCGCCTCCAGGAGGACTTTCCCTGGAGGTGATGCCATCCTCCAGGACCACCACCCTTCCCCAGCACCCCCGAGCCACACACCCGGGCCTCGTACCAGAGCCAACCCTGCTGCTCTCCTCTCCCGCAGAGGCTTGGATCAGTCGCTACCAGAAGCAGCTGGTGAGGTCCATCTCACCACAGTTCCTGGAGGAGATCATCTGCCACCTGCGGAGGCTGGACCTCCTCACGGCGGAGGAGGCCGGCCGGGCGCAGGAGGCGAGCTCCCTGCCCGAGAAGGTGAGGGCCGTGGTGGATGTCCTGGCTGGCAAGGGCAGCTATGCCTCCCAGTGCCTGCAGACCTTCATCGAGACCACCAATTCCCAGCTCTACCTCCACATCACTGTTTACGGTAGGCAGCGCACAGGGGGAGCAGGATAAGGGGCTCTGCGGCCCCGTGGCAGCGCCACTGCTGGCTCAGGGCCTCCTCCAGCCTCAGCCGAGGAAGGACAACAACGAGGGGGTGACAGGGCTCACGAGAGTCGCAGCAGAGAGCAGGAGCCCCGTGGGGTGCAGCAGCGATGCCGTACCTGTGCTCAGAGGGTGGTGGATCCCAGGGAGCTCACGCTGTCTGACAGGACCACCTGGGGACGGATCCTCCATCGCCGCCCACATGCAGCAATGCAGGGATGGGGCAGGGCCTCGGGGGGGCCACACAGCCTCCGAGATGCTTCTGCAGCCTGGGAAGAGGCAGAGAACGAGAGGATCACGTCAGTAGTGCTGGAGTGCAGCCCCCAGGCTCGCACCCCAGCTGAGGCGTCTCCTCTGCTCCCCAGGCAGAGGCAGCAGCCCCCAAAACACCAGCTCCTTCCTCCCCTCCAGCCCCTGTTTTATCCTGCCCTTCAATATAAATATTGCCAGGGTTTGGGTGCAAGCAAGGGTTCAGATCTGTGGCAATGGGGCTGAGGCCAGGCCAGGGAGCCACACCACAGGATCGGGCCCAGGGAATAAAAAACTGGGGCCAGGCACGTGCCAGAGACCCCCAGGAAAGCACAGAGCGTGGAGGAGGGCCCAAGGACAGGCTGCAAAGGCAGTGCACAGATCAGGGTCTGGATCAACAAGGCCCACAGCAGGCATAGGTGCCATGGAGCTGTCGACAAACGCTCCTACAGCACAGCTCGGGCAGGGTCAGGAGGCTTAAATGGGCTTAAACGGGCTCCTGGCCCTGCAGGTGTGGGGGGAAGCTGCAGGTGAGGCCAGTCAGGGCCCTGGCACATGCCTCCTGTATAAGCTTTTGCATTATTATTATTATTATGTTGCATTTGTGGTTCTCCTCCTCCCCCTCACCTCCTATTTCATTTCTCTCTGGGCAGAGCCGATGGTGCAGAAACATCTGGAGAGCCTCCAGAGCCGCTATGGGAACGGCTTGGAGACGGGTCCCGTCCCGCGCCTCATGAACCTGCTGCTGGTGGAAGGCTTGACCGACATCCAGCAGAAGGAGCACGACATCCTGCAGATCGAAACCACCAAAGGCCTCCGGAACGTGTCCAAGAGCATCCCTTTAGAGAAGCTCTTCCTGCCCCTGTCCAAGGTCAGCATCCCCCCACGGATCTCTGTGACCGTAGGGGTGGCTGGCATCGGCAAAAGCACGCTGGTGAAGCTGTTTGTCTCCAGCTGGACAAAGGGGGAGATCAACAGGGACATCATGTTGGGGCTGCCCCTCACCTTCCGGGAGCTCAACACCTACGAGAAGCTCTCCGCCGAGCGGCTGATCCGCCTGGCCTTACCTCACGCCACCGAGCCCAGCTGCATCTCCGCCGGAGCCGCCAGGGTGCTGCTCATCCTCGACGGCTTGGACGAGTTCAAGACTCCCTTGGATTTTTCCAACACGGTTGTGTGCACCGACCCCAAGAAGGAGATCCAGGTGGACAACCTGATCACCAACATCATACGTGGCAACCTGCTTACAGGAGGCTTCTGTCTGGGTCACCTCCCGGCCGACAGCAGCCAGCC